GGGGGGGGGGGGGGGGGGGGGGGGATGGCGGCTCGTTTCCTCGCTATTCCCCCTGCTCCCCCCCTTTTTTGGGGGCTGGGAGGGTCTCGGTGCGCGGTCAGACGTTGGCTGCCGGCACTGATGTGAGATCCGTGAGGAAAAGGAAGAGCTGCGGGCCGGGAGCGCAGCCTTCAGTGCGAGCAGCTGCTGCCGCAGAGCGCCTATGGAGCATCGCGCCAGCGCGCCTGCTGGCTGCCCGCGCTCTGCCCTGGCTTTTTGTCGGGTTAAGTCATCTCATTTTCCTTCCAGCTGTTGCTTGGCAGAAGGGAGGTGAGCTCTCGGTCCCATCAGCGTGGTTGATGCTGATTTCAGAGGGCTGAGAGGTGGTTTGTTGACCTCCATCCGTGCGCCCTTCTGGTAGAGCCCGAGGACGCGGGGCAGTGCTGGAGAAGCCCGCTGAGCTGCGACCCGCAGTGCTGCCGACGTCGTAGCTTTGTGGCTTTTAGGGGAGCCTGGCGTTTCCTTAACAAGAAATCGGGTGAAATAAAAGCAGTAACCCTTCTATTATTTCTAGTGGTCTAGTTTTACTAAACGGCTAGGATATGCAGTGACCAGGGCTGCTGGAACTCGGTGATAGCTGTCAGAATCCTGCTTAGAATCCTTTGGGCAGGATAAAATTAATAGGTGCTGCACACAACGAAATGGCATTTCGTGCCTTCCCCAGGGTCCTGCAGTTTTTTAGGTGATTTAATGTTGTTTAGAAGCTTGTATGATAATCTTTTGTATCTATTTGAGTTCTGATGGCAAAAAAAGTTTCATCCCAACGCTCCTATGCAGCAGTGGATCTTATTTACTATTGGAGGTTCGTAGAATGTAATGTCTGACTTTGGAAACTGCTGCAATAAAAGGATTTGTAACAATGTTCAGTGGTTTATAGCGATACTGAAACTGTCTTTTCACATCTTACATAGGTGCCTGAGGTCTGTTTGGAGGATGGGGATGTCCTTATTTTGGCCAGAAACCTGTTTTTGTGTGTGTGTTTTTCTTGAAAGTGTCAAAATACCTGCAGAGCTTTAGTTTGGTAAGTCTCAGTTGCCTTTAAACATACTTCTTGTGTCAGTTTCATGACGTGAATGTACCACTTACAGTTAGCAGATACATACAGTATAAGCACTCTTTCTCTTTTTGGGAGAAAAGAAATGGATCAAAATTAGATCCTCAATATGTGTGTAATGTGTAAAGTAGGTAAATCTGCTCCCAAGAATCCCTGCATGTGCCAGAAAGGCCATCTAAGGACATTGCTTCAGTAACAAGTGTGAAAAAGCAAACAGCATGGCATGAGAGGGAACATCTGTCAGAAAGAAAGAAAGAAAGGATAGTCCTGGATGCTTCTGGGCACTGCTTTGAAGTGTATGTGACTGTATATGTTCACTAGTCTTGATATAGAAACTGTATGACTATGAATCATCTTAGCCATGAATGTATGTAGGCAGCATGTGAGCACTGTATTTGCTTCAACATCCTAGGGTACAGCAAACTAAAGCTGTTAGGCTATACTTGGTTTTTTAGGTTAAAAGGCAGTGTATGTCAAACATATGTATATGTCCAAATCCACGTTTGTGGGATTTATTTTTTACTTTTGCATTAGGAAAATGTGAGTGGTTGCAACTTCCTGGTAACTTTAAGAACATTTGTCTTGCTGTCTCCAGCTATACTTTAACCCTTGCATCTACTGATTACTTTATTTCCAAATCAGCCTGATAATAGCAAATATATAATAACTGTGTTTACATTCATTTCTTCTTAGAGAGTTTCCAATCACTGCCTAGCATTAGTTTCCAATAATCCTTGAAATGAGCTCAGCAATGTAGAATTTACCACTTTCCTCATACAGAGGCATGGTGGTGACACTGTCAATTCTAGCTGATGTTTTCTGTTTCCAACATCATTTGTTTTTCTGTAGTTCATTGCACTCCTTAGCTTAAGACAAACTCATTAGGACACCTTAATCCTCTGAAAAAGAACTGTAAATATACACAAATTGCTGAAAAAGATAAATATTAGTTGCATAAAACACATTATTGAATATGCTATTTGCTTTCAAAATTTTGGTGTGCTAAAATAAAACTTCCAAATCTATCCTTCAGCATGCTGGCTTATTTTTTTATTTCTCTCTTCAGCAGACTTGTCACTTCACTTTCTTCTGCTGCGGTGACATCAGTAGAAGTACTTCTGAGCTTTCCTTTGTTGGTGAAATGCTCTCTCCAAAACCTGAGCGTCTCCCCACAGAAAGCTAACCTTAAACCTGTCATGAAGATTGTGTGATGTTAAAAGAATGGTATATTAACAGTAACAGCAACAAGAAGACCCACAGCTGATAATCACTGCCAGAATCAGTCCAATTTTTAAAACTGTCTTAGGAGCTGCCTTCGAGTTCTTCTGAAATTTAATATTGCTTTTCCCTCCCTAAGAGGCTTGGTGGATAGGGAAATGAAAATACCGAAAAAGAAAAGCTCATTCTTGACACTGCCCAAGGTGCCTCACAAACCTGACAAGTTACTCAGCTTCTGTGTGTTCAACTTCACCACTTTTAAAATGGAAGTGAAGAATATCTGTGATGTATTTTGGGATATTTGCCCTCGAAGCAAAGCAAACATGGAACCGTATCTCCAGTCACCATCACCCCAGGGCTTTTCCCTAGAAGCAATGTAATTGCAAAGGCTAGACAACTCAGTACACCTCTATCACAATGCTGCAGTGCATCAGAACTACCTTCCATGTGCCACAGTCAGATTTTTTAAGCCTTCCCTGACATCTGCCTTCAGACTGCTGACATCTAGGCATGGCTATGAAATAGGCAGATTGAGGAGCCTCCCAACACTTCCCGAGGTCACATTTAGAAGAAAGTTGATTAGAAGTAGTAGAACACCGGGTCATAGCTTGTAAAATACTTCCTGAGAACAACTAATGATTCTTACCTATGGACAGGTGATTTGCAGCTACCCATTAATAGAGCCCTCACACAACCTTTGTAAGAGGGATTTGTACATTCTGTACTTCACGTTTTTACGATATATTCTTCAAGAACAGGACATGTGGAGCAGAAGAGAATGTGAATTATATATAAATTCATTATGGACAAATTAAAAAGAACCAGTTCCACATGTTACAGTTCTATAAATTTTATATATAAGTACTGCCCCCTACTGCTCAAGGGATTTTCATAAACGTATTTAATTTTTAAAAGTTTCAACTTTTTAAATCAAAATGTCTGTAAAAGCTTGCCTGTAAGAAAAGGACGTGTGGATCTTTTTTCTTAAAACAAAAATCTCAATTTATCATTTTTTACAAGCATAAGACACCTGTGCCCATTCTTTTGCTAATGGGCAAATTATGCTTTTCCAAATACATTCTTCAGAATAAGCTGCATACATCTTCTCACAAGCACAAAAGCCAGGGAGATAAACACATTTCCAAGTAATTGCACCTTTCAAAACTGACCTTAAAATTCTTTATTCTGAATTATGACTACAGGAATGCAAAGGAATAGAAAGATTTCAAATTGTAGAGACGTGATGGTAACAAGAGTTGGTGTTAATTCCCAAATTAAAGGCAAAGTAATCAAGCACTCTTCAGTAAATTCTTGTTGATATTATCTGCTCATTTTGTAATACATTTTCTTGGAAATTTTAAGGTGCAAAACATGCTTGTGTGAGAGCAAGGTGAAAAAGATAAAATGATGCCATTATAGTCAGAGCTTTACTGCTAGTGCTGAGGCCATCACCTTTCTAGGAACTGCTGTCGTGCCCTTGTGTGACGTACTCTGAAATATTTGATGTATGTCACAACTTACATCCAAACAACCTCCTTTTAGAATGTGGTTGTGTTTGTCTCTGTTTTTGTATCAATAGAAATTAAAGAAAAAAAAAAATCGTAGTTGCACAAAATGTTATCAGTTTAGGAAAAATTGTGCTTTTCATTGTCATGGTATAGATCAGTGTCACCTGCTCTGGTTTGAAAGCACTTCCTCTTAATACTCGTTGCACAAGTGATATTTGGACCTGATTCAGCAGGCAATAAAATCCCTGTTTCCTTGTGGCTTCTGGAAAGCTGTATTAAGATGTCTGTACATTTGCCATGGAGGTAATATTTGCCTACTTAAAGACTGCATTACATTGCCAGATTCCAAAGGAGTTTTAACAGACATCAGCATCAGACTACTTAATCCTTAGACCACGTTTCTGAGCTAGGAAATATAGTGATCCTTCTTTTAGGGACAGGGAAACTGAAGCACAGAGTCTTTCAAGCCTTCAAGCAAGTACTTAATTGCTTATCATTAGAAAGTGGATTTAACATCTGCAAAATCAGGAGCACACCCGATGTATTTGTACTTGTAGTGTGTAATAGATCCATCCCACTGTGCAGTCATTAAGCAGTGCCCAGTGCCACGCACACTGCTGTTACTGCTGTTTGTACGTATGTTTAGTGATTCATCTGTATGTTTGTACAAGTGCTGAGGTGCATTCTGTTTCTTGGGGTTTTAACTACACCACAGGACTGAGATATTTCTAAGGGACTCAAACAATTACCTTCTACCAGAAACTTGAAATTAACTCCATATCTTTCCCTGGTGGCTCACACTTATAGAGATGCAAATCTCACTTAGCCAGTAGTGAATTTCAAAACAAAACCAACCAATCAGGGGAAAATGAAGCATTTAAAATGGCCTCAGTGGCAGGTGAGGCCACTTACATCTTGTAAAGGTTTCTGTTGCTTTTGTGGAAGGCTTGTATGCTGCTGAGAAGAGTGTAAGCTTGAGGCTTGTGGGGTTGGGAGAGGCTGTTACTGGTTGTGATTTGTTGTTTGCTTCAGGTAAGCAAAACCCTTTTGTTGTTTAATAACTTTTCTACTGCTTTTGTTAGAGAGTATAGTTTCTATTAGCTGTAGGTTATGGAATAAAGATAAGCAGTGTTTAATAGGAGAGTGTTCTCTCTTGCTTGTGTTATAGCTACATCTCTGTGCTTTGTAAAGAATCAAATATCTCTGAGCTACAATATGTTTTCCATAGCAAAATACTTTTCCTTCATCCCTAGTTTTGCTTTAAAAAGCAAACAACTTATTTCTCCTGTGAAGTGCTGAAGTGTAGTAACTTCATCTTTTTCTTTTTGTAGCTTTGTTGTGAGGCTTGCTACAGTGCTTGCAATGTGCACTTATGAAGTGGAAGTAGCCTATAATAATTCTTGGCTATCTTCTATGTGGAAAACAATGCTTTTTGTCTTCTGAAAATTAAAACTCTCATTTAGCTTGGGCTCATGATGAGAGCAATTCTCTAGCTGTAGAACTGCAGCTAATGACTGAGTCTCTGTCACTTCTCTGTGTTTTGAGACCAGAATCTGCTGTGCAGGTTGAAAAACTGTGCTTGTAAACTGCTTAGCTAGTGAATTCTGCTGTGTGTTGGTGCTAATGCAGCTTCTTGGTTTGTCTTCCTATGGATTTTTCTTTATATCAGCAGCATAGTTCTCAGTAACTGCTACAATACGTTAAACAAAAACAGTTTCTAAAACAAGTATGTAGAGCCATTTTCCTTACAATTGTCTTCCATGATTATGGTTATAGAAGAAAACTCTGATGTCTAATGAACTTTCTTTTCCTTTCTTGTTTCTATTGTGAGAGGCATGGAGCTGAGCAAGCATCCTTCTGGCCTTTAAAACCTCACTATGCAATACCTATGAAAAATGGATTTATTAAGTTTCCCTGGCAACTAAAGTTTAAGTTTAGTCTGGCAACTAAAATGTCCTGTAAGTTTTCTTCCCTTAAATGTACTGCAGTGCATATTTCAGAGGAATAATTCTTCAGAAATGCTGGTGGCCTAAGTGCCTCTTATGTCTTATGTGACTATGCTGCTGCAGAGTAAGCTGCTATACTGGTGTGCTCTGTGTAAATGTTTTTTTATGGTGTGCTGCAGTAGTTAGCTAGCAACTTAAACTCCTGGTTTGTATGTCAGCTTTGAAATTATGTATTTCTTCAGGTGTGTAAGTGTATTTATCTTCTTTCTAATCTGCACGTGTGGTGCAATGGCTCTGTATACTTAAATGCTTATTTATGATAACCAGAAGTCTGCTTTTCCTTGGGAGGAGCTGACCTACTGAGCTGGGTAGTGAAAGGATTTTCAGGACACTTAATTCAAAAAATAGCAGTGAATTGTATTTGTCATTTAGTCATATTTGTAGTGACTTCACTCCAAGGGGATTCCTTTAAGTATTAGTTAAATTGGTCCTGATTCTTGGCTGTGTAAGTGTATGACCTTTGGAAGTGTATTTGCTGCCCATGCGGATGGTATTAAAAGCAGTAGCTGAGTTGTCTTAGCTTAATTGTGCAGGGAAGAACTGTTACCCCTGGAAGGATGGGAGCTTGGAAAACTTGGCATTTGGTGGCTTCTTATTCTGCCTGTGTTAGTTCTGTGCAAGAAGATTAATGTCTTACCTTTCCTTGATTACCCCTCCCTCTAGAAACTGGACTTGATTATTTTGGATTGCTTCCTGAAGGGCAGTCTATAACAGATATTTCCGTGTGATGTTTAATTCTCATAATAAGACATGAGAAATCTATTGATATCCTACAGCACTTAGCTGTTAATTGGATGTTGAGAGGATGCCTGTTTGAGTGTGGCTGTTCTTGGCTTTATGTCCCCTCTGAAATGGTCGTTGTGTTTTTGTTTTTCTGGGGTGGGGTGCAGTTTTTCTAATGGTAAAGTCTGAACAAAATGACTGGGGGTTTAGCACAGTCTGAAAGCTGGATTGGCTCAGCAAGAGGCAGTGTAGGTTTTGCCCTCCCCCTCCACTATTTGTTCCTGCAAGCATCTCTCCTGTAAATTGGCTGAGGGGATCAGAAAGTACGAGTCTCTTCCCTTCAGACTCACTAGTGAGGGTTCAGCAAAACTTGAGCAGCAAAGTCCAGAAGCACCAGACCTGTGACTGAGCTGCAATTCTGAAACAAGCTCAGCTGTGTAAAGATCACGAGCATTCCAGAATACACATGGGGATGTAGAACAAATAACACAGGGTGAGTTCAGCCTGACACCAGGAATCCAGCTGACTGCTCTGGATTCTCATTCTCTTTCAGAACGAGGACATGGCAGACACAGCACCAGCAGAGGGGACTCATCTCAGGACTACCTGCTGCCAGCTGTTCAATTCCAGCATGAGGGATGAAGCAAGAAGGCTGAGGACTTTCTCACAGTGGCCACGCAGCTCACCAGTGTCTGCCTGGGATTTAGCCAAGGCTGGCTTTTTCTTTGTGGGTCCAGGAGATCAAGTACAGTGCTTCAGCTGCGGTGGCATCCTGAAAGACTGGGAGCCTGGTGATTGCCCAATAGTGGAGCACCTGAAGTTCTTCCCTTTCTGTAAATTCATTTATCATGGAGCTGTTTGGAATCAACAGGTTCCTCTTCAGGGAGTTTTTGACAGTGTAGATGGGCAGTTCCTCAGCCTCTTGCAGAGGATAGACAGTGAGGAGACAGCCCTGCCCAACCAACCAGAATACCCAGAAATGGTCACAGAGGAGATGAGACTATCAACGTTTCAGAACTGGCCACAGTATACTGAGATGCATCCTGAGCAACTGGCTAGAGCAGGGTTCTTCTACACAGGTAGGAACACCCAGTAAAGTCTATTTTGTCTGTGTAATGCTGTGGAACTATGCTTAAACTCCTGTATGGGGAATCCATAGCTGAACTTTGATTTACTATACCACATGTTGGCAGAATTGTCACTCTTAGCAAGAGCTAGAAAGGGAGAGGAGCAGAACTTGCATGAGGTAAGCTCAGCTTAGCTGGACTGCTCTGGAATGCAGATAATGAAGTCATTGGAAGGTCTGTGAACAGTATTTGAGATCACTTAACAGTGTGGTGTGAATGTTGCACTCGCGTTGTAGGTCAACAGAGAAAAATGTGTCACAGAAAAATGTGTTTGAGGGCTCTGCTGTTGCACTGTATCTTCATAAAGGCAAATGTGTTGCAAGGGTACTTCCAACCTTGGTTCTGATTCAGTATCCTGTAGTAACTTAGAATGGTTGTTGGTGTTGCTGTTTTAGGTGCTGCTTGTGACTTCATGCTGAAATATTAACTTTTTGGTAGTGAATCTCTTCTGACTCTGTTCTGATGGCATGAATACATGTAAAACAGCTGCTATATTCTTATATCAGCTTGTAGCTACCTAGACATCAAAGAAAGCTTACTGAATTTGCAGCTCTTTTCCTAGCTCAGCACTACTTTGAAAATTGCTGCATATTCTTAGCTCGTCTTCAAGTTAGCTTTTGAAGATATCACTGTGTATCGATGCTCTTGCTTGTGCAAATACATGCAAGTGAATCTAGTATGGTTATAAACCTCACCCTTCTGTGTGTGCTGTCTTTCTTACCACTTGGACGGGATTCACTTCTGTGCTGGTATCTGGTTTGGATGCTGATGAGTCCACTACTAAGTCTTTTCTTACTAGCAGAATAGAAAAGCAGTAAGTTTTAAACCAGTTTTCTCAGAATGAGAGTGTGTGCTTAAAGATTCATCAAACCTATTTGTTACCTGTGCTTTTAGAAGAACCCAAGGCACTTCTTGGTATGCTGTGCTTCATAAGCTCTGTCTTGCACTCCAGCCTTCTCAAAAATAAATAATACAAACTTGAATAAGATTTGGAAGATGGCAAACTTGGCTGTCACTGTGGTTTGCTGCCATGAGGATTCATATTGCTAAACTAAAAATACTTCTGAGCAAAATATGCAATAGTTTCTTATATGTATATAAATACACATTCTCAGTTGTTTCTCCTAGAGAGGGTTATGCTGGCTAGGAAGCAAGCCTGAGTAAGTACTGTTTCCTGGACTGAGGAACTGGAAAAAATCTTCACAGTACCTTCATGATTGACTGTAATTCAATACTGTGAGTGGGGGTGGGGAGTCCTTTTTGCTGTCTAATATAGTGATACTTCTGTTAGAGACATCCCTTCTTCCATGGCAAAGGAACCTATGGATCTCATATTTGCACATCAGTAATAGACACAGAAGTGTCTATAGACTAAAACCCTTTTTTGTGTGTGTGTGGGGACTGTGTATCCCAAATGTCTCATGCCCTCATTGCTAAAGTAGAATTGTACTACCTTTCTCTAAGTACTTGGTAAGGATGGAAGGGAAGGGCAGTCTTAAATGTTGCTGTGCCAAATCTCAAATCACTACATGCACGTTGGGAAGTCTAACTGATCTGTTCTTTCTGTCCAGCTAGAGGAAGTGTCTGGCTTCTGAAGTCAACTTCTGCAAGACTTTCACTGAAACTGTAGCCTTGCTGTAAATCCAGTTAAATACTGGAATCTGCACCTATTTGCTCAGGGTGCAGCAGTGGGGGCGAAGCAGCATCCATATCTATAACAGAAGAGCAATATAGGCATTACATCTGAGCCATTGCTTTTGTCTTTTAAGTTGTGAAGCATAAAAAAAGGAGCAGCTTGGCCAGGAGTGCAGAACAAACTATAAAGCAGTGTCTGGAGCTGAAATCCCATCTACTGTTGGACTCGGTCACTTGTGGAGCAGCTGAGTAAGAGCCCAGCAGAGAGGCTCATGTTGGGGATCATTAGGAAGCAGTCTGTTCTGGCACTCCCCTGCTGTTACTTGAGCTGGAGAACTCTGGAAATGAACACTCAACTCTCTTAACACAAGTGTTTGGAAGATCATGTCTGTAACCCACACTTACTGGCAGATTTCACTGAAGTTTTCATCAACCTTCAGATAGGGCACTTGTAGGCGGTTCTTAACTGTGCTTGGCTTTAATTCCACCTCTTGGTGATGTGAAGCACAGTAGCAGGGTGGGATAGCTTGGGAATGCCCTGTGTCAAACTTTTATATCTATAAACCAGAAGCAGTGTATGCTGACTATACCAGCTGTTGATTTATGGCAGATCATGGTAAGAAAATGTTCATAGGTAGAATTACAGCTGTACTCTAAATCCTGGCAAGAGGGGGCTGGATGGTTGGTGTACAAGTGAACTGTGGTGCTCCCATGCATGCTGCCTGTTACCTTGTGACCCAGTTCTGGAATCAGCTAGCTGCAGCTCTGGGAGTTCTGTCGTCTCTGTGCCTCTAAACAACTTGTGTGATGCTGATAAGCTGTCATGTGCTCCTCTGTTCTGTAGCCTGTGATTTGTGCTGAGCCTCTCCAGGTTCTGATTAGAGCTAGGAGAGCATAGGTTGAATCAGATGGTAAATTATCTTGTAATGTCTTTTGCAGGCCAAGGTGATGTGGTGAGGTGTTTTTATTGTGATGGAGGTATGAGGAACTGGGCATTTGGAGATGACCCTTGGAGGGAACATGCCAAATGGTATCCAAGGTAAATGTCTTGGCTTACAAGTGTCCCTTGTAGCAAGACCAAAAGACACATGTGCATTCCACTCAGTTATTCTTCTGTTTTGTAAGGCAGAAGTATTACCAGCTCAGAGCCACAGGTGCATGGGTAATGGCTCACAAACTGATGGCACTACTTGCTTCTAAGCTTAATCCTACTACCTTACCCACTCTTAGGAGGCTCTGCTCTAATATATTGAAATCTTTCTGCTTATAGGTGTGAATTCTTGTTGCGATCAATGGGGAGAGAATTTGTTAGCAGTGTTCAAGAGTCCTTTGCCGGCACTCCACCTCCAGTGAGTCATAAATATTTTGTGTGTAGCAAATGCAAGTTTGTTGGGAAGTTCTGAGCACGTTTCTCTTGTGGCATTTTCAGAGAGATTCCAGGGACCAGATGGGACAAGGGTCCTCTGCTTACCAAGGTTAGTGCTGCTTTGTTTAAGTGTTGTATCTTTCTTCTACCCCACTCTTGCTTGTGTGCTCAGGGTTGGTGTTTAATGTTTTGGTATTCTAGAAGCAATTCTCCTTTATCCTTGGGAAATGGTCTCTAGCACAAGAAGTACTTGTTCTTGTGAGATCTCCTAGCCTGTTTGAGACCAATTGTATTTAGCTAGTCTGGATAATGACTTGTTTGTCCCATCTTCTATTTGTCTGTTCTGTGATGTAGTCCAAAAGATTCAGACAGAAACAGCATTTTAAGCAGGCCAGAGAACAGCTGAAGGTCCCTGGTTATGAAAGCATTAGTCTTGGGGATCTACCATCCAGTGCTACTCTAAACTTAAGTAGGTTAAACTCAGCTCCTGTAACTGTGGAAAACTGATTTTTTTCGCATTCTCTTGAAGATCCTGTCTGATAGGTGAGCTTAAATCTTTAAGCTTTTGAATGAACTGCCAGCAGAATTTTGTATTTCAGGATTTACTGATGAATGTTTCAGCTAGACAGAGGCAGAAGAGGCATAAATTGAGAGATTCTACTTAATGTTCATCATGACAGTTCTGAGATTTTGGCTGTTGGACTAGAGCCAAAAAATGGGAGGCTTTATTCACTGCTGGAGAATGAAATATCTGAAGTTACTCTCCTGGTTCTTATGGAATTGCTTTTGTTTTGGCTTTTTTGACTTATGATTGGAAGTGGAAACTGTAAATCTTGATACAGATAACCCAAATCTTTTGAAATTAACGCCATTTTATATGTAATGGCTTCAGAGTGTAGCATACTTCTTTGTGAAGAGTCTGTTTACTACTTTACAGATCTTTTAAGGAACTGGAAGTTGCAGACTCTTCCTTCTCTGGATCAGTTTTCTGTAGCACAGAATGTCCTGGAGATGGGCTTTAACCCTGCCTGGGTTGCTAGCTTGGTAGAGAATAAATACATATTGACTGGGACTTTCTACCTTTCTGAGTCTGAACTGATTTCTGATCTGCTTCGGCCAGAATGGGAAGAGAGCAGCAGTGCAAAGGAAAACAGAGGTATGTCTGATTGATTTGCCCACCCACATTCTTGGTGGATGTTCAACCTCTTATTTACTTCCTCTTGAGCACCGTTGTGAGTGTCCTGTGGGTCTGCTTTCTCTCTTCCTAGACTGGAATTAAGAGTAGATATAAACCAAAGGCTGCCTTTCTTCAAGAGGCTCAACAGTGAGATACTTTAAAGAAACCTGAAGGGTCTGTTATTACTGGAGTAACTGATACAGACACAGGAAATGTCTCCAGTAGGTTGTGGTGTAGATGTCTTTGATGTTTTCTGCAGCCCTTAACTGCAGTAGCAGGTGTGCATTATGTGGGGCTTTTGCACAAATTACCATCCCCAGGTGTAGCTGACTAAGGCAGTTGCCTGAAGCAAGGCTTTTAGGACAGGTACATAGTCTAAGTCTATTTAAGATAGCATCAATGACTTCATTAGAAATAGCTGCACTCTGGTTTGGGTAATACATATTCTACTCAGTTTATCTGTCTATTTTGTGTCTGTTGTATGGAGTCTGATAAATGAAGTTTATTTGAAGATGTTTCCCTGTAGCCTTTCATTAGTAGCAAGCCTGCTCTCTAAACCTACTGTCTCCATATTAGTAGTCTGTTACATCTAGCAAGACAAAAATGAAATGACTTCCACAAGGCTGAGAGTGATTAAACAGTAGCAAAGGAGCAGGAACAAGCAGCTAATGGAACCATAGAATCATCATAGAATGGCCTGGATTGAAAAGGACCACAATGCTCATCTCTTTTCAACCCCCTGCTATGTGCAGGGCCGCCAACCAGCAGACCAGGCTGCCCAGAGCCACATCCAGCCTGGCCTTGAATGCCTGCAGGGATGGGGCATCCACAGCCTCCTTGGGCAACCTGTTCCAGTGTGTCACCACCTTCTGAGTGGGGGGGGGAGGGGGGGGAGAAGCTTTGAGGAGATGATAGGCATAGGCATGTGTTAACCTCCTTATGAGGGCATACTGGTGTAAGCACCAGGGAGCATCAGCCTGACCAGGCTGAATGTGTAAGGTTATGTAAAGACTGACTGAAATAAGGATATTTCTGCTCTTAAAGCAACACTGTCTGAAGAGGGTGGGAAGGAATATGTTTAATGCCTTTTCTCCTGGTTAAACAGATGCGGTTCAGAGAGAGACTGAAACATCAAGTTCAAGAGGAGAAATGCAACCTGTGCAACAAAAAGGTGCACTGGGGTGACTGTGGATGGGAAACTATGTGCAGGCATAATCCGGACAGCTTTCATAGTAACAGTATCATGATGGTTGTATTCTAGTCTTGAAAAGGAGTAGTCTGGACTGTGGCAGAATGTAGAAACCTTACTCAGGATTTAAAGCTACTTTGTGATGCAGACTTATCTTAAAACAGTTTGGGTTTTCTTTAATCAGGGATATGTATTGAAGTACAATGATACTGACATCTGTCCCTGCTCAGTCTGTGATGTGCAGGTATGCCAAGTCTTAAGTATGTAAGCTAGAGTTCATAACAGCTGTAGCTAATAATGCTTAAGTGAAATCTGCTTGAGAAAAGTAATTCTGCTGTCACTCTGAAAAAATGAGCAGTTGCTCTGACTTATTAACAAAATGATCTGCTCTCTGGGGCTGTTACAGTATTAACACTTTGGGTTTTCTTTTTTCTTTTGTGAAGAGGAGTCTCCATTGAGCACAGAAGAACAGCTCCGACGCTTGCAAGAAGAAAGGATGTGCAAAGTGTGCATGGACAGGGATGTGTCTGTTGTATTTGTTCCCTGTGGCCACCTGGTAGCTTGTGGAGAATGTGCCCTCAACTTGAGACTGTGTCCTATCTGCAGAGCAGTCATCCGAGGAAGTGTGAGGACTTTCATGTCCTGAACCACAGTGTGCAAAAAGGAAAAACAAGTGTCTAAAATATTCTCCTATGCCAGCAGAGAAAGAAACAATTTGTTACTTGAGCTGTCTTATTTGCAGGATAGCTTGGCCTAAAACTCCTTTCTATGCAGAATGCTTCTGGTAAGAGCTGCTGATTAGTTCTGATCTTGCTGTAGGACTGCTGCAGAAAAACTATGCCAGTTTGTTTTTGTCCTTCAAAATGAGGTTTTTGCTGGAGGTAGTCCTCCAAATACTTGAGGATCTCTTTTCTGTACTGAAAACAAGAGCTGTTTTCAGCAGTCTGTCTGGTTCTTTTCATTTAGGAGTTTAGAGAATATCCTGCTAGGGCTGATGGATTCCTTCAGAAGTGTGAGTAAAGTTAGAGTAACTTTATACCAAATGCATCCTGTAGTAGCTAGGATGCTCAGTAGGAATGGGGGAAGGGGGAAGTAGAAAGGAGAATCTAGTTCTTCTGAGGTTGTCTTCTGATTTTTTTTTTGTTGAATTTTCAACAGTTGGAGAAACTATTTTTAACAGTACTCAAATCTACTTAACCCTGTTCTGTTTCTCCAACCTCTGCTCTCAGCTCATTATCCTTCTAGACAGATGTTGAGAGACTCTCCAATGCTCTTGGTCACAGGATGATCTGAATCTTTCTTGTGAGGCCTCTTTGCTGTCTGTTAGGGACTAGACTTTTGCTAAGAGAACTTTTTTCAAAGGAAACTTTTCTAGGGCTTCTGTTTGCTGGCTAAACCAGTTTTTAATTTAAATATAATACTCTATCCTGTAGCAACAGACTTGTAAGCATGCTAACTGCAGGGAAGATGGTTTTTAAAATTTTCTGTTCTGTTTAACTGAATAAAAGGCTTGTCTCATGAAGGTCTGAGTATCTGATTCCAGTATAAGTCCTACTGGTGTGGGTGGGATCCTGGAATATTAGAGGAGAGCCAGGCTTAGATATTTGAGTTTCCATCCTTCACAAACATAAGTGGGAGAAGCAAATTCTTACCATCCATTAATTTCCTTTGAAATATAGAAGACAGTGTGGGATCTCCGGATTCCTGGCTGCAAGACAAGGCAGGATAAGGACCAGATACGTGAAGTTGTGTAAGTGGGAATAATTCTGCATCTGAACTTGATGGAGAACTTTAGTACCTGTCTCTTAAATAGCATCTATGGAGACTGGAGCACAGGCTCTAATTCTGGATACCAAACGGGACTGAAGTCTCATCCCTGGGCCATGTGAGAGGGCAGAATTCTTCATCTTTGTTTTCAGGAGGAGGAAATTCTAATGCAGCTCATGGCAAAGATGAAACTACTAACTGAGCAGGTTAAACTCTCAGACTCCGAGGGTTGGTGGATCTCTGGTACCTGGCAGCTCTGGTAGGGAAGAGTTGTACCACTGTGCTAAACTAGTGTTATGGCAGGATTCAAGCTATTTGGCTTTATTTTGCCACTATAAATAACAGCAAAAGCTGCCTATATTTTAAGTGGATGTGCTAATCTGTGAAGGGAGGAGTGAAAAATAGCTCAGTGTTGGAGTAGTGCTATTTCCTCTTAAACATCAGTTCAGAGCCTGGAATGTAGCCTAGCATCAAAAGGACTACAGGGTGTGAAATTGCCCAGCTATTTCTGGGATTTTCTTGTAGGTTTTCAAGTGTGGGGACTCTGTTTCCGTGGAAAAAATGTCCCGTCAGGAGCAGGTGCAAGTTGATTTTTGACTGGTTGTAGTCCCAAGTGCTGCCTATCCCCAATAGAGGGCACTCCTAGCTCCTGATAAAGGAACCCCCTTGTGGAAAAAACTATTGCTCCTTCATCTTGTGGCACGCTGGAGATGCAAATAACTACGAGTTGCTGCCCTAACGGAGTATAGGGTTATTCTGTAGTCTTGCAGTACTTAGAGTAAGTCTAGTGCAAGCAGACCAGTAGGAAAGTTTTGTCAGAGTGCAAAGGATAAATGTTTCTGCTAACAAAAACTAAAGGAGGTACGAAGAAAAGTGCATCATTGTGTCTTTGACTTTTAGCACTTAATATTTTTATTTTTTTAATCACTTCCTTGCACTTTGCTTCCCTAGCATGGCTTCTGGCCTGGCTCTTTTGTAAAGCATTATTCATGAATCCCAAATGGTCTTAGACTAGACAACACAAAGAATTACAACAGCTTGTGGAATGCTTCAGCCAAAGAAAGCCATGGATGGCAGACAAGCACTCTTTTCCCTGCTTGATGCTTAACATCCTGGGAGATATAACTAACAAAAAGGATGCTGGTTTTTTTTCTTTTTAATTATTTGCTGCAGCTTATTAATGCAACTTAATTACAGTTCTATTGCCCCTTTCTTCCTCCCCACTCCCTCCCCTCAAAATTATCCTGTCATAAAAATACCTTCCAGCAGGAAGCTGTTGGGCCTGTGCCTGGAGTAAGTGTGGCTGCTTGGCAAAGAAAGCAGATACAAAAACACAATCCACGAGGAACCAGGCATTTTCCAGTGTCCTGCAGCAGGTATCAGTTGTGCACACGGCTATACCAGTAACTTAATGTGGGTGGACAAACCCAGAGTAGGCTCTAGCTGCTGTAAGTTTGGCATGTTGCAATGGGGTTAAGCTCCATACCAAGTACAGATTTGGCAATTGTACTAGGGTCTTTTTAGCTGTTCAGCATTTATAGTAGTTAAATCACAATGTTAGAATCCAAGCCAAATTCCTTACTACTAAGGAGTAGAGAATAAGGGAGTCTTGGATAAAGGGGAGAAAGGGAAGATCTCTTACCTACAACATTAAAAAAAAAAAAGTAGGGTGTATAAGAGAGCCTAAACTCAAATAACCCTTGCCTAGTTTTATACAGGCAGGAAAAGGTTCAAGTTGTATTAAGGGGATTTAGGCTCTTTCCAGAACTGAGGAAAGGAGAGAGGGAAGAAACTAACTACAAAACATATGAGATGTCCCAGGGTGTTGCAGTGTTTCCTTCTCTGTGGATCCATGGATGGAAGGAAGCAGCTCCGACTTCTCCCGCATCTCTTGAGACAGGCTCCTAGTGAACTTCTGCCTGAGGATTTCCAGTCTGTGCCATTTGGCTAGAACCACCTACTGGGGTAGGAATGGTTCATCAGGGCACTTGTAGAGTTAAGAACAGACTGTGTGGTCATCCTTCAATGTACATTCATTTCATTTGAAAAGAAGACAAGGAACAAAAAATGGAATGGAGTTCACCATCCTGCATTTCCTCTGCCATAGACCCAGGCCACAGGGGATTATTTCCTGCAGCACCTTTGGTGGAGTGCAAGATTTATCCATCCTCTGGCTCCTCCTCATTTACGCAGGCCTGCAGAGAAGAAAAAGTGAAGGCAGGATATTAATGCAGAACAAAACACTTCTATTACTTCAGGTAACAAACTGGAACTAATGAGGGCAAAATTGTTTTTTCTGTTCCAAATTTGTAAATATGGGTGACTACAGATAAAGAGTAGGATGGAGGAATCAGATACAGTGTGGTTAAGTCATCTTCAAGTCTAGGAAGAGTATTATGCATATACCAGACTTGAATATACTGCAGTTAGAGTAGGGAATAGATGTGAGCCAAAGTGTTAGATCCACGTATTGTGAGCCTTGGAGATGCATAAAACTTGGTTAGGAATTTTAAAAGCTGGGGATCATCTCTGGAATAAAGTAGCTCTGTAAAAAAGCATATCACTGCAGTTTCAGTGCAGAAGCATAAGCATATCTACTTCTGTAGCCAGCAGTAAAGATGAGAACATTTTCAGCTGAATCATCACCTCTTAAACATGCAGCTTCAGGTTGATAGTCAGCAATTTTTATTTTATTTTTTGTTTGGGAGGGAAGTCTACCTAGAAAGAAAAGCAGAAGCATTTGTGTGTGTGCAGCTTTTCTTTGGTTTTGCCAAAGTGGGCTCTTTTTTCCTGTTCCAGTAAAGGTTTCCTTTGTAAAGCATTCTGATCATCAAAACAGTTAGGACTTTTTTTTGTTTCCTCCAAAGGATGTTTTAGTTTTTCATGTTTCCTCCCTGCTTCATACCTGTCTGCTGTACTGAAGAACCTACTTTCAACCTGCCCTGTTACCTGCACTCTACTCCTGTAACTCTGCATGCCCACAGCTGTTTCATGCCTATGGCTAGCAGACTGACTGCACCACAGAAGGAAGAATTGATTAGGAGGTATCAAAGTGAGAAGTTAGCAATGAAAGCCTGTAATCATTCAATCAACCAGTGCCTCCTGTTGCTATCCTGTCAATACTGAAGTCAGCATCTGATACAAGTCACACCCTTTGTTACCCTATGGCCTTTCAGAGAGGTCAGATGTGAGGGAAGCAGAGTTAGTGAGATCAAGCTATGTGACTAAAATCAAATTAAAGCTTGTAAGTTACTAATGTGATGCAGTACTCAGAGTGCCAGCTTGGGCAGGAGCCTTACAAAACTGTGTTTTGCTGCTGATCTTGGAAGTATGGCATTCAAAGGTGTGGAGATGTGTTGCCCTTCTCTATACTTGAAAATGAATAGAGGCTACCTCCTGACATCTAGTGAGTTCTTGATTTTTTTTTTTTAATTTTTTTTGCATTGAATGATGTCCAAAACAATGCTACAAGACTTCTGCTTCATAACTGAGCTTACAGAGCATTGATGCTTGAAACAAATTGAGATGCCAAAAGAATGGCTACAGCCTGCAGGAAGTGCTGACTGGTTATCAGGATGAGCTGAACTTCCTGCTGTCTTAGCAGGCATTACAGATTACTTGAAGATAACAGCTTTAGTAAGAAGCTGCAAGGCTGTTTGTTGACCCTTCTGCAGTTACAGCATGAGAATGCTTTTCTTTGCTTCAAATGATAATTCTGTTACTGCAAAGACAAAAAAAAAGAAAAGCAGTCCTGCACTCATGGCCTTTCCTATGAATCCTAGGAGAAGACAGTGGTGGAAAAAAGCACAGCCTGAGTTTGAGCTTTAACTGATGAAAAGCAAGAGCTCAGCCTTTCCTTCTTTCCACTTGAAACTGGTTTTCAATAACTAATGTATTGTTGTTGGTTAAGTATTTTCACCCAAAAGTAACTTCTATCAAGATTCCTAATGTATTTTTACTGTTAGAAACTTAGTGCAGTGTGTTGAGGTAAATTGCAGTGAGGTTAAGGGCAGCTCATCTACACAGTGCAATTTCTAGAAGTCTCTTGCTTAAGCCTGTGACTTGAAGCAGGAACCAAACCTCCCCAGAGTCAGTGAAATGTAGAACAGAAGCAGTTGTAGAACCTGAAATAGAAATAACTGTATTTATAGAACATCACTGTTGCCCTGAGTAGTGGAAAGGCTAAGTAAGATGAAGCTTATTTAAATCATGCCTTTGTAAGCAGTAGTACAAAAGTGTCAGTGATTTTTTTTTTATTAAAAGTAACAGCTGGCTTTGACCACTTGCTTTTTCCATTAACTGGAGCCTTGCAACTGAACTGAAGTCGAGTTCAGTGGTAGATTCAGAGATAAAGCAGGCTGATAATAGATACTTCCAGACCCCAGACCAGTTATCAATTAATAAAATTAATAGTTTTGGGAGATGATTTAATACAAGGCAAAAGTTTATTTAAAAACATCTTTCAGTGCTAGGGGTAGAAGCTGAAGGCTGGAAATAGGATGCACAACTCCAATACTGAATTTAGCAGCTGATAATCACTGCAATAGATTAACATAAGTCTTTATTTAAAAGTTATTTAACACCATAGGCTGGGTAGTCAGTACATAGCACAGAAGCTATGGGGGTTGGTCTCACATTTAGCTATGCATAGCAGAGAAGGTTAATGTCTTTGTTCTGTTCAAATCCATAGATTTGAAGAGATAAGAGACTAGGGAAATATGCAAGCCAGGGCAAGGCTGAGTCACAGGGCAGAGGAGAGGAAGGAAAGTGATCCTATCAGAAAAGGATAGGTGAAACTGGTGTGAAGACTATAATCCCAAAGAATGAATTAAAGTGGTCCTGTTTAAGACAACAGGGTCACGATCAGGGAGAAGTTGACTACTGGCAAATTTCATCCTAAAATGAAAGCTAAGTTTGCAGCAGCAGCTTGCTCAGTCAGTAGCTGTAGAGTGGATCTGGTTTCATGCAGGGCTTCCTTCAACAAAAAAAGAACAACAAAAAGCATGTGTTCCTCACCCCTTTCTGCTCTAAAAGTTTCAACTTGAAAGAAGTTGGATGGATTTGTTGTTTTGCATCTTTTTGGTAAGGAATAAAATGTCTTCAGTCATTGTATTAAATGATGAGGGCATTTGGCCCTCAGTGCCTCATACTGTAAAACTCCACCTCATCATTAGCTGAGAATCAAGTATCCACTCCTACTCACACTCTGCATATGAGAGAGAGGCAATAGCTAGTCCAGAATAAACAAGAATTAGTATTTGGTGGCTGTTATGAAATTTATAGAGGGTCACCTTATCTACTCCTCAGCAGCTGTTTTCACCTCCAGTTAGCCAGAAAGAAATATTATCCTGTGCTGGCAGAAGCTATCAGTATGTGAGTGATGGTCTGAATAATGGAAATGAAGAAAGGAATTATTAGTAGAGTACTTATGAAGACCCTTTTAAGGAAGTTTTGCAGTTCTAGTTTCTCAATGGGGATTATAATCTTCCTGTATATAAATGAAGATGTTTAAATCATAGTTTTTTTTTTTAAGAGAATTGTCATTTTAAGAAAAAAAAGCAACCCAAACATCATACTATAAAGATACACTACTGCATCAAGCTAGTAAATCAGGGAGCTGCCTAAAGAAGTTCCAAAGCTTCTGCAGACTGTGGAAAATTCCATCTCACTGTGACAAAATGAGAGGGAAATCAATATTTAATCTCCTGTAGCACCTTTTCTAATAATGGCATTGTACCCCCAAAGTTACAGGGAATTCATCTGCTTTGCAGAAATGACTTGTTCTCCTGGTTTTGTGCTGTGTGCTGCAGTGACAAAGTGTGAAGTAAGTCCTTACTATGTTACAGGGCCACATCTACAAATCTTTTCTTCTCTCTGCCCCGATTTTCTTTCCTATCCACCCATTTTTGGAAGAACTCTTTGGTAACATTATTCCCAAAAACCAACCTCCCTTAGCAGTTGCTTTTAAAAATTTCTGCACGTTGAACTGCCCTCTTGCAGCTCATTGTAAGAAGCATCAAAAGTTCAGATCTTACTGCTGCTTTAAACAGATAATGCTGGCCTTTATGTTTGAGAATCTCATTAATAACCAGCTTTCAAGTGGACTTCATGAAAGTGTGCTCTTGTGCCTTCAGCAGCAGAGGGGGATTAGCAGAGGGCAGAAGCTGGAATTTAATGTCTCTCTAACACACTGGCATGAGAGGAACTGCTAAGATGACCGCCCTTCCAGCTCCCCCTCCCCACTGAACTCTTGGGATGCCACATGCATACAAGGAACTCTGTTGCCTAGAAGAACAGTAACAACAAAGCTGAAACCTTAAGAGCAAACGTGTCCTGCATACAAACTGCCTAACTCAACTCATCTTAATGTGGTGGTGCGATAGTTCTGTTACTTACAAGATCTTTAGAAGCACAGACAGCTACAGGAAGACTGCATGCAAGACAGAGTCAAATTTAACAGTGCTATTATGAGAACATGATGGAAGGATGGCAGAGACGTGGCCGATCAACAAAACTGCATCAATGCATAGGTCTGAGCTCAGCTGTGACTGCCCACACAGCTAAGGTATGGCTTAAATAACTAGCAATTGCATATATTTTATCCCCATACTTCAAGCTTAATCTGACATACCATCATTCAACTTCAAGATTGAGAATCATATTCTGCTGTTGCTATGACTTACTCTCTGCATTCACTGAGGCTGACTCTTCCCTCCTCATGGCTCCTACCTGTGGCTGCTCAGACAGCACTAGTTGCTAAGAAGTTTCTCTTTGCCTTCTTCAAGGAAAATGTACCCACTAGTTTGCTTATAGTAACGTCCTGCAGCTAACACAAGTGTGACCCTTCAAACTGCACTGCCATAAGCTGAGCATGGCAACACAAGCTTCCACCCTTTAAGCAGGAGCTGAGCAGAGACAGTTTCACACTTTCAGGTGTTCTACAACTTATTCATTCCTTGCATGCCTGAAAAACCTGCTGGACAAATGAACCTGTGAGAAGGAAAAAAACCCAAACCCATGGCACCCTTCAGCCATCAAATGCAGAGGCATGCACAGCCTCTTAGCATAGGAGACGATACTTACAGGTATGTCTGCTTGAACAAAAGGTTGGTGGGTTTTTCATTGACATGGTAGAGAGGAAATGGATCAAATCCACCAATGAAATCAACTGAAAAAAAATCAAAACTCAAATAAATAAACAAACATGGCCAGAAAGGAAATGAAAGGAAAAGTAGGCGTGTGTCATGGCATAACAGAAAAAAATAATTCAGAGACAGAAAGAAAAGAAAAGGTTTGTCAGGTATGGATTGCCAAGTGGAAAGTTCTGCCTGTACAGACCTCTGCTCTTGGATCTCCTAGGACAGCCACTATGCCAAGGAGGAGATTCAGCTAACAGCAGACTGAAAGTGCAGAGCTAGCAAAAGAACCAAACCAAAACAAGACTCCAGAAAAACAAGAACCTCCCTCAGACTTCTTGGGTATTGCCACCATACAGTGACTTTGTATGACAACTGAGCTGACAAAGCCTCAGCCATTCAAGCACATGCTGAAAGAAGGAAGCTGGGGACTGGCTTGAGACTAAATGCCAGCAGAGAAGTTGGCAGGACAGCAAACCCCGTGAAGGTTATACAGTGAAGTGGGTATTTTATTGCCCCACTTGTCTTTCCTGCAAGACAGACTGCAGCAGCTTTGAAGAACCTTAGATAATACTCCATTATCTTCAGTTCTGATATTTTTCAGGTCCCCTCTGCCAACTCAATTTCTTTTAATTGTATAGAAAGAGAAACAATGCTTCCCTTCTCCAGCATTCACAAAAGGGCAATGTAACTAAACAAGGAATGCTTTAAGTGACAATTCCCTTAGTAACCGTGGAAGAATTTTCCAAGTCTCTCTTCGTTCCCCTGAAATTAGGCCAAGTCTGCATTACCAAGCTGACCAACATATCTGGATCAGTAGGGGTAAGATGTGGTGCAATTTGTGATTGACCTAACAGGCCTTGCAAAAACCTGTAACGTTTATCCAATCTACATCACTGTTTAGTGCTGTGTTAGGGAATCTTGTTTGGAAGTGTGAAAGCTGCCCCATTCAAATGCCTTTTAAATATAACTGGAACGTTGCTAAGTATATGAATGCCTTTTACTTTCCTGAAGGTGGCACTATTATTTTAGATTTTAGCTAATGAGCTTGAGGGTGTTTTTTTCAAATGAACAAACAATAGAAAAAATATTTACTTAATATATATGATAGGAAAAAACCTCTGAAAATACATTCAGAAACTCAGGGACAATGTATTCTCACAAATTCCATATTAATGAATAGCTTCATGCTGATACTGTGATTCTGGAACTGTGAGTTAATGGGAAGTCTGCAGAGGATCTAAGTATATTTTGGTGATAATTCCTAGTAGTTCCAGTGAGACTTAAACTTTTCTTAACTACATTAAAGAAATAAAAAGACCTCATTTGAAAACATCTAAACTAGAAAACCCTAAAAACACAAAATTTTCAGTAACTGCCTTGTACCTTGCACAAACAACAGTCAATTCAACTGAGCATCCTATTGTGTCCCTTAGAAGTCTTAACCATGGGTCACTCACTGTTGCTACCACCAATATATCTCAGTGCACTAGCATGTCTAAAATATTCTTGCCCACAGTTCAGCATTAGTAGATCCCTACTGCTGTGTTTTCTCATGAAAATCACGTTAGCATGAGCTTCCTGATTAATGTGCCTCAGCACTTATAATTACTTCATGCTGCATATCAAAGGAACATTTAAAGGAAACCACAAATGGAAAAGAAAATTAAAACGCAGCTCAGATTTGTTCGGGTCACTGGAAGGATCTACCACTGTGAGTGTGAAATATTGATGGTTTGTCATTGTTAATTATTCAAGCTGACATTTTAACTCCAAGCTGAGAAACTGGGAGGGGAAAATAATTTGTTAGTGGGAAAAAAACAACCAACCATATCCTGAAATTTACAGCTCTGCATTTCTAGATAATGCTTCCTTCCATATGATTGCCTCTCCCCATCCTAGCATCAGCCCTGTTGAGTTGTTAACTCACAACATTCAGAAGAGGCTCAGAATTCGAGCTATTTAGCCAACTAGAGTGCTAGAGGGTAATTTTAAAGATATTACTTACAATATAACACCTTCACTAAATGCACTTCCAAGTTCTGAACAAATGATCAATAAGGCCAGTAGAATCGCAGAAGGAATTCAGCCACGTAGGAAACAACAGCCAAACATGAGGACAAGTCAGATAAGCAGTGTATCTCATCTCACCCATGTGAAACCAACATTCTTCACATACTTGCAAGATATCCAGTTCAAAGCTGTCATTTTTCAGCTAACATCCATACTAGCTGTTCTTTAAAACAACAGAGCTATTTGCACTAAAGGAAGTGATATTTGGATATAAAGCCTTTGAATCTGATCCTGACCTAGAGTAAACTGGCCTAGACCCACTGATTTCATTAAGGCTATTCCAATTTAAACATTCTGAGAGCTGAAAAACAAAGGCAAAACATTGCAATTGAAATCAGATTTCACATTCATTTGAATTCTATGCATCCATTCTTTTGTTTGTGGAAGTACTGGTCTCCAGGGGAGTTTTAGAAGGACAGTAATCCAAGATGAGGCTATAAGATCTATGCAGATACCTACAGATTCAACCATCCATGTGATTTCTCTGAATTTTCTTTTCTGACCTATCATAGAGAATACATGACGCTTGAGAGATTTGCCTACCAAACACAACAGAGTCAGCTCCCTCATCCTTCCTGTGATTCACATATGCTACTTTTGCTTTTAAGTTAAGGTCAGGTTGGTTCTTGGCAACAAATCTCATGTTCTGCTTTATCCTCATATGATACTCATCAGGTGGCCCAGTTAAATATAAGGCTGTATTCTTTGCTGTAGGTTCTCTTAGTTACATCTCAGCGGTATTACTGTTCAGCTGTAGATGTGCTGAAGGAGTAACTAGATTACATTGTCTAACACTTAGTGACGTGGGGAAAAAATATCACAGAAAAATAGCCAGTCTTTGAAAGGTAGGTAGTACCACATCACATGGGTGGAGAAATGGAAAGAAATCTTATGGCAACTCATCCTTGACAGATAAACATCTGAGAGAGAAAGAAAATTGAATAAAATCTTTGCCAAAGGATCTGTTGATAAATACTTACAGCTGTCTTCTTCTTCTGTAAAAACACTAACAACGTAACAGGCGTAGACAAAACCCACCAGCTAGAAAATAGAGAGAATAAATCATTTCAGCATCAATCTTGCAAGGCTGGTCAGAACTTACTTGGCATGATTTCAGCAGCCAATATTTATTCTCCGCTTGGCAGCACTACTGAAATGGTGTAGCCAAGTCATATTTATTGTAAGGTATGGAGTGCAGGTGTAGGCTTAGATGAAGACACTGCAGGGAGCATACTCAGAACTCAAAACAAAATACTTGCAAGACCCATCCTCACCTTCAGAGTAGAGACCTGCTGTTGCCAGAATGATTGGGAAAAACATGGGCTGCCTTTTTTTAATACAAGAACTACTGTGTTAAGTTAACTCTTAGTAAGAAGTGATGGGATACAGGAGTGTGCCTGATGTCTGTATATAGGACAGACACACAGTGTTAGATGTTATTAACAGGAACAAGAACTCATCAGCTTTGTATTTCTGTAATAAATGGCATGGAAGGGTAGAGAAATTACTTGGGTGAAGGAGTTACTAGCAAGGTGAGAGCAGTTTTTATGCAGATGAGATAGAAACTTAGTTAACCAGAAAATCAGTGATGTACCAGCAGTAAAATTCAGAACTGAGATCTTTTCTAAGTTAGGCTTGGAGATCAAAACTCATTGGAAGAAAATTCCAGTCCACATTTTTTACATATTTTTCTACCTTTGGAGAATAACACTTCCACATGAGGTAATCAAGCTTTGAGCATGCAAAGTAAATGGGCTGGAGCATGGTGAAAAACAAGCAAGGCAATAGCAATGGTTTTAATTCACACATTACATGGGCTAGCAGGAAATTGCCACTTTCTAGGAACCAGATAGAAACAGGAACAGTAAAACAATAGGGTGCCTCTCAAGTAACACCTATCCTGGCATGAGGTGACCATCATGTCAACTGATTGCTCAGAGCAGAAAACATGAGTGAACATTAAAGAGCACTTTATGGTGGCCTAGTGAGTCTGTGCTTAGTTGATAGTCTGTAGAAGTTCTAACATGTCAGAACTGCCTCGTTCCATCTCAGTACCAAGTTTTTACCCAGCTCGAACAGAGAAACAAGGTCTTGGAACTATGGGAGTTAAACATTCCAGATCCAGCAAGGTTTTATTTTGCTCTGCCTTCTTTCTGTTAATCAAATATCCTCTCCATCCTTCATTTTACATCTTCACATAACACCCCACTTAGCAGTATCTTGGTTGACAGTAACTGTATTAGTAAAGTTATTGTGAGACATAATTGTTTTCCACTGTGAACTCAATTTTCTTGAACAAGAGTTAGAATGTAACATACAGTGACTCACTCTATGGGAAGACAGAATGATGCATGATGAACCCAGAAAAGTAGAGTCCATTCATTTTTAATATGACAGAAACATACATCACACTAGAAAACAAAAGGCAAGTTAATGAGATTTCTACTGGGGAGTTATAAGGTATCCTTGGTTTCCCATGCTCTCTCAGACAAAAAAAAAACACCTCGTTGGAAAGAAACGGAATATTTTCATAGTATCACTAAGCCTTGCATCTCCTTTATGATCTCCTATAATCACATAAGAGACAAGCTAGCTCTCTTTTGTCTTGGGTGAATCTTATCAAAACATATCCCAGTACTTTGGTGGAGGAGAGGTGGCTCTATGCATTCAACATTTCCCTTGTTGTGCATTTTCAAAACCAGTGCTGCCTCACCCTAAGTTTCCATAAACATTCCTCGCTCAGAAAAAGGTCCTTTTACGCACGCAGGAAACTGCAAGGCCACATGTATTGACCAGCTGATTTTTACCTGCTGACTTTGACAATCGCTTCCAAATAGAGCTCTTGCTTTTTAAAATCAAACAAAACAATCAAAGATCAGAATAGTCAGATTTCTTCTTCTTCTCATGCTTGTTTTATGCTACCAACAACGGCTTCGTTTCCCTTTTCGGGCCGTTTGGCGAGTGGCGGAGCTGGCCGTGGTGCTGAAGCGGGCCCGCATTGCCAGCCCCAGCCGCGCCCAGACAAATGACTGTAAGCCAGCGACGCAAACCTTTGCAAATGCTCCTGGAAAAATAAAATGCTTCAGCTTAAAGCCGGCACAGCATTCAGCGGACGTCTAAGCACTTTTCTGCATACTCTTGTCTCTGATGTGTGCTTGCAGTCACCTCAGAATTGCGATTGCCCTGTCATATATATATTTAAGCTTGAAGATCCAGCAAGATATATCACAAGATATAATGCCAAAGCATGTGATTTACATGCACACACATATCCAAGCAGGAAAGATGCATCTTGAACATATGCTCTGATTCCAAGGGAACCCTAGGGAGGTCTTCTCTTTTCTCAGAATTTCCTGTCACGCCTTAGAGTAGGAGCTTTGGGTTAATAACCATGCAAAATGCATTCTGAATCCATCCACTATTACTGTACTCTATAACATACACACACCAACCTTATCTAAGTTTGCAATTTCTGATATGTGTTTCAGGAAACTCCTAATTCCAGTTCCATTAGAGTGGGGAGTTTTGTTTTTATTTAGCTCCTGATTGTTTCAAAATTACTTGATTCATGTTTAATATCTTCTTGCATTGATCTGATAACCCATTCCTTCTTGACAAGAGTTTCATCAATAATAAATTGCTTATTCAATGTAATATTTTCTTTTTATTCAAAAAAGTCTTGCAGCCTGTCCAGAACAGGATAGCTTCAGTGACAAATGAGAGAAGAAACAACAGGAACATGAATTGCATTTTCATTGGCTGACCTAAACTGTAATTAAAAACATCACCTCAGGGATGTAGTGACCTCCTGGGACTCCCTGCATCTTGCCTCCTACGTGAATTGTGAATGAAAGATAGTTAGAGGGGAGGACTGCCATTCCTATTATCTGGTCTCTTTCACTGGAGGAGTCTACTAGAACATGGAGTGAGCAGACTCCAAGAGATACCAGTGGTGCCCTTCTGACTTCATTCTTGAAGGAGACACTTCAAACCCCCAGACATCACCAAGGTTAGCAGCAGTTAACAAAGAAGAAAGCTGCAGAGGCCAAGAATCTGGATGTAACTTCACTCCTTGTCAAAACACAATCTTTGTTGCTGTTTTCAGTAAGAAAGAGTTTGTTTTAAGATCTACTGTCCCAGGGAATAGCAGTAATTCTTAGATCTTTACAAATTATATAGGGGAGGTGGAAGAGGAGGAAATAAGCCAACTGAACTTGTGAAATATTGAAAAGTCAGTGAGGTAAAAATGACACTAAGCTATTGCTCTAATTCCCCAAAGAATGTTCTTGGGCTTCAGCCTCTGCTGCAGTTTCTCCACGTGCTCTGCATGTTCAGTACCAGCTTTCTCCAGGCTGCACAAGTATCCGATTAAGATTTTTATTAGGAACACATGTTGCAGACAGGTGTGTTCAGTCAGTCTGTCAGACAGCCTGGGAACGCACACACTGTTGAACAAGAGAGAATGAATATGGGATGTACTAAGCATTCTTTGGGCAAATCAGCAAAGCAAGAAAGGCAGAGATGACAAGCATACCCAAAATTACAAAGAAAAGAAATTCATTCCTCAGTCATCTCAAGTAACTTTTTAATAGCAAGTTGAATAATGCTTATGGAAAAGAAGCACTGAATAAAGTATTGGAGCCACAAACATTGAGTTCCAGGAAGAACTAACGAAATAGACCATCTGGCTACAAGTGTACAAAATACATGAAAAATGGGAAGACAAATTTTAGGAGGTGTTACCATTGCTCGTGTAAAATCTTAGCTTTAGACTTACATCTGTCCTAGTAAAAATTCTGGGCTCTTCAACTCTTCTCTACAGAGAAAAGAGAAACCTGCAATTCCTTTTTTTCCCCCCACCGCAAAGAATACATTCAGAGTCTCCTTCTTCAGTGCAGATGAATTCTATGTTTCACTTCTAATCAAAGCTAAGGAAGCACGTATGTTCTCAGTGCAAAAGGATATATAGATACAGATATAGAGATCTCAGGCCAATTCACAAGCTGTAAAAAGCAAAAACCAGCCTGTGGAAAAAAAAAAACAAAACAAAACTACTATGACCAAATAGTCAAATGGAGAAAAATCCTTTGGTTCCATGACCTCTTTACTTTTTGGATGCAATCACAACCACTGAAAATCAAGCTTCTGCCAACAGCGAAGCATCTCCTGCGCCTTGCTTCTCACATAACATCTGCTGTCAAAGCTTGCATTGCTGCCTTCCTGGGAACCTTCCAACCTGTCAGTTGGAGTGAAAACAGCAGACAGGCAGGCAAAGGGAAGAGATTTCCAATTTCCATTCCATTCAACAGAGCCTCAGGAAAAGCCTAACCCTCCCACTCCCAGAACTACCATATGGATAGCCCAGAGCTACACCACATATTTCAAAATCAGAAATCACTCCTCTCCCTGCTGGCTAGCAAGATGGGGAGATGCAAGATAAATCCTTGCTAAGAATATGAAACAGATTTTTTGGTTGCTGTTGCATTTCCTGATTGGGTTGGTAGGATTAGATTTATGGTGACATTCCTATACTAGTACTGATTTGATGAAGTTTTGTTCTAACAAGTTTTTTTTTTTTTCTTCCAGTATCTTCTATGCTAAAGCATCAAGCAAGATTTTCATACTGGGCCATACAGCTATTCATATCACGTGTTGACTGATATGCCCAAGTTTGATCCCACTCCATATTAAAGCAGTTGCTTTTGCCTTCAAGGAATACAGACAAGCTATAAACAAAAGTAGGGTGAGACCTTATGCATACTCTTCAAATGTACGCACAGGAGTGGGATAATACAGCCACAGCAGGAGCCAAGATGACAGCCATCACTGTGGTTACCATATGGCCTAGGGTTTGCTTTCTCTTTCTTTTGGCATGTAAGATCAAATTCAGCAAGATTAACTTAACCTTTTCCTGAGTACACAACACAGTGCACTATAGTCCTTCAAAACTCTGAAGGAATTGGTATCTCCAGAAAACAAAGAACTCCTCAGCTAGATACTGCATAATTAAAGAACACTGATATTGCACTGCTGGATCATGAATCAAAAACAACAACAACAAAATCAAATTCTAAAAACCCTTAAACAAAGCAAAACCAACAGAAGAACACAACAATTTTGCCTGTCCCCCCTCGCTTCTTAACTGACTATTCGGATCTCAAATGTGCAGGAGACAAGAAGGGAATCAGGTCACATCACTGCACCCCCTGAGCCTTCAGTTCCTAGTCATGTTTCTGTAGTATTGATCCAGCCCCTCTGCCCACCTGCTGCACACTACCTGCCAGGCACTCTGAGAACAGTAGCCTGTAATAAAATCTGCCTTAAAATGAGATAAAGGGAACAAAAAATACTGGCAGGGACCAAAGAGTTTGACCCTTAGAGACTAAAATGGGAGAGAACTGGCTGTTTCCAGGCAAGGTCTGAGTGAGAATATGAAAAAGCTTTCTTTCTGCCTTACCTCAGCAAAGCAGGGAGAAGTAGTTCTGTTCTCCCCAGTACATGACAAAACTATGTGAGTATTTCAGAGCTGGCAGGAGCTACAGGCCTGGAGCTCCAATATTCTACTTTTATTGCAGGACAAGTAGAAATTTACCTCACTCTATATAGCTCAGCCCACGTGGCTTTCTTGCATATAAGTACTGTATTCTCATTTCCAGAGTTTAGGATGCAAAAGCCTACTGCAACTGAAGTCCCAGAGAAAAAGATAGAGAAAATATTTACCCACAGTTTATTTTACCTTACAGTTCCCTCTTCAGTTTCCCTATGCACCCCTTGTGGTGTCCTGTGGATGCAGTGAAGGAGAAAATACTCCCAGGGACACAAACTCAGACACATCTGTGTGACCACTTAGATTAGGGCTATCTGCTCAAGGTAGTTTGATGACATAAAGCCAAGGTCTTTCTCATCCAACCTGGGACTTTTTGTTGGCCAAGGTTCTACCTGGGGCACAGGTACTTGTGTCAGATAGGTGTGTAGGAAGGATGCTAACAGTGACACTTTGAGTCCACTTCTGGGAAGTTCTGATTTCACCAAACTCAGGAACAGCACCAGACCATTAGCATCAGTCCTGTTCCAGCTAACAGCTCTTAAAGAAGACAGCTTCTAATCTTTTGGATACCTAGGTTCTCTCATACAAATGCACTGATGCAACTCACAGATCTTTTGATTTGGATCATCTTCCCTGAAGGAAAACTCACAGAATATTAACGGCCTGTATAGAAGCCAGGGAGCCCATCCAACTCAGGAAACAGGAACCTCTCTCTCTGCCTGGTTTGTGTGACATGGCCAGAACAGAGTCCGAGTCTTGCCTGCTCCCTGCAGTTCACTGGGTCACATGGATTATCCCAGCTAATAGGAAATACAGGATGAAGACAGTGGAAATTTATACCAAAAATGTGCAGAGAAGTACTTGGAACCTCCACAAGTTTGGAGTTTCTCTGTATTTGCAACCCTTTATCATTTCATCAAGGCAAGTTACTCCTTTTTAAGCCAAAACTGAAAGCTGAAATGCACGTATTTCATCTGTCCATGTCAGTTTGTACTTAAAGCCACTAACCACAAAGTAACAAACCAAAGCAGATTAGAAAGCTGTGGGTTTCTAACACCGCTGCAGCTACAAGAGGCAAGAGCACCCATGAAATAAGGCAGACAGCAGATCTTTTCCTTCAGCTAATTTTACAGACAAATGAGAAGCAATTAATTAACAGTGAACATTAAGGACACTGAATTACTGCACAGTATTTAAAGACTATGGAAAACTCAGATGAGGAAAGAGTCAATAGAAATATTTAACGCTCATCTTAAGTGTCAGCAGAAATAAAACATGCTGCTTTCTGTGGTTCCTTAAAGTCTATTTCACTTTCTGGCAGTGAGGATTTTCTCCCGTTTACTTCTTCACAATAAACACGCACATTTTTGCTCCCTCACCCATCATTAAGTCACACAGAACAGAAGAAATCCTTCTTCAGAAGAGTCTCTGTCCATATTAAAACACAGATTTCCTCACTCCAGCATGGATACAGAATGATTTGCTAGTGGACGGTTGCGTGTGATGCATAACTTTGTTAAATTTCTGCTATTCGTTCCCAAATCTTTACAGCAATATTATTCACAAGAGAAAAAAACATTTACAGAAGCTTTTGCAATCAGATGATGTAAAAAATCAGTGGAAAATAGACCACTCACGCACCTGGAAACAAAGCAGCATCTCCTCAAGAACACCGCCCTGTGGCACTCTCAGCACTGTACTCACCGCAATCAGGATCTGGAAGGAGCTGTGCATGACCTCAATGTAGCGATACTCCAGGGCACAGCCTATCACAGAGATATAGGAATGGCTGTCCAGTCCTGCGATGCCAGACATTGAAGCCTCCTTCCTTACACAGCCAGGACCGTTTTCACTCCACCACGACTGGTGCCGGGAGATGTTAAACGTCAAGAGCTCACTGTCCTGAAAAGTTGCAAAGATATTTCCATTTACTCTCAGAGTATCTGACATGCTGTATTAAAATCAATGGAAACTTAGAAGTTTTTGACATCCACGCTCTCAAGAAATGCTATCACAGATCAAAATACATCGGCCTTATATTCATTATTAAAAGCATCCTGTAAAAAAAAAACCCAAAAACCATGTGCTATGGATATGCTCTTCTGAGCACTGGAAGCAACTCAGAGAAGGAAATTAACTTCATACCCCCAGAGTGATTTTCAAAACCCAACAGATCTTCCTGTGCTCCTAGGTTTTAATCCATCCAACAAGTTCCCCTACCATTTCAAACTGTCCAATTTCCTTCCAGACTCTTAACATATGGTGTTTCTGCCTCTCCTGTTGACCTTATGCACTGCCAGCCTCAGGACAAATTACCCAGCTGAGCTGACCTCACAGTGATGATTGCAGCTTCTTACAAACACTTTTCCAGGAATTCGTTATCAACTCTACTTTCAGCAGGCTTTTTTGTTTTGCTCTTATCTTTGCTAATTTGATAACCAGTGCCATCGTGAGTAGTGCAGGAGTTGTATATGCAAGCAGCTGCTCATTTAAAAGTAACAACACACTTGAGAAAATAATGGTACCAATTGTTATGCCCAAGAGTTCTTTGGGATTTTGAACTTATAAGGCACAGCAAAGTCCTCTTCCAGATGGAAAAACACAAATTGAGAACTAGAAGAAAGGCACAGGAGAGATCAAGCACATCGCTGCAGAGATGAGCACAAAGCACCTGGGTGCCCAGCATCACTCCAATGAAGGATCAACCATGTCTTTTGGCCACAGTACAGAATAAGGAATTGGAAGTTTTATTCTGAAGGATAGATTGCAACACAGGTCAGGCAGAGAATGCATGCATCTCTACTGGGTAGAAACAAATATTGGATATATTCCCCTATGGTGAAATGTTTAACACTTATCCACATACCGCTTTGCACTTTCATACTACAGTCCTACATGCTGCCTCCAGGAAAGGGGCAGCTCCCAAAAATGCAGCAGTCAAAGCCTGGGATATTCACGCTTCCTAACATGAGAAACCGAGTGGGGCAGCTCCACAGCCTTGGTTCCCCGTGGGGTCCAGAGGAAACAGCAGACAGAGCAGTTAATCCACGTCACTTTCTGAATCCCACTCAGGAGAGACGGCTCATCTCCACTGCCGGTAGAGGGAGCTCAGCCAGGTAGGCCTGCAGATACGTGTCTGCATTCATCACTCACGTTTGCCCCTGGCTATAGATGCAGAAAATTCGAGTGGCAGCCAGACTTGTGAATAGAAGCCAACCGCCTCAGTACACACATCATGTAGAAACCCTCCACTGCAACACAGATACTCAAAAACAGTTTGCAGAGCTGTTATTAAAATATGCTGCAGGAAGCACATGTTAAGAAATGTGGACAATTAAGTGAAAAGACAGCTGCCAAGTTCCCGACATAATCACTACAACAGATGGGATGTGTTTTACAGTAGATGGAGGAGGGCACAGAGATGAAGTATGGCACCAGTGCAAAAGCAGTCTGAATAGCAAAGGAAAGACAATAGAGAAGATTTAACAGTTGGGAATGTAAAGAGAGCTGCCTGCATTTTAAAGGCTGAGAGGAATAATGAGATTGGCAGCTCCAGGATAACACACACAGTGCAAGGTGCTGTGCTATCTACATTTCAAGAGACAATTTCCTCTTGTATCTTCTCGCAGCTTTGGCAGAAATGCCTTCAGCCTTCTCCCTCAGCTGGGCATTGCTCTTCAGTGGTCCACAGAGATCCCACTTATCAACTAAATCACAGTTTTTCTGCAAAGCTTGCTCTTTCTTTCCCAGCTTCGCATGTTCTGAGATACATGGATTTTCCCACCTATCTGTCCATCCCATGCTATTCTCTACTCCTTTCAGAAGAATTCTTGCATGTTTGGAAAAAATAAGGAGCGTGCTTTTCTTCTTGACTCTCCACATCATCAGTGCTTATAGTTTTGGTTTGTTGTTTTTTTTTTTTTTTTCTGGCTTAACTCTGTTGCAGAAGCAAAGAGCTTGTTTGTGAATTGAGCATGAAAAAACAGAACAAGTGCTAGGCTGCAGACAGACAGGTGGAAGAACAGTAGGTCCTAAAAGCCTAAAAAGCAGTCACTGTTTTTCACTTACAGTTACACTTCAGCCCTGTCCAAAACTTATCACACTCCAGTTAAGAGCAGATTGGAAAAAAAAAGAGCGCATTTGAATTCTGAAAGTACAACTTGCACTCATGAGCCTTCCTTCTCACAAATATAACACAAATACTGATTGCAATCAGAGCTGTGCATGCCCTCAGGTTCGCAGTGCAGACACCTTTCTGAACATGCATCTGTCTGCAGCACTGCAGGGCACAAGGGCAGTGCAAATGAAAGGAACTCAGCAAGCAAAGCAGTGCTGTTCCTTTGCTCGTGTCCCTGGATGGATCTCCTTAGAGGATACCTGCATGAATGAGGCATAATAAAAGAGCATTCAAGGAAATCAGTTAATTGACCTTCTGTTGTTCGGTGCTTGCTAGGAGATGAGGAAAACAACCCTAGGATGTCTCCTGTGGTTTGCCCAGCTTCATTTGTGAGGAGATGGTTGAAGAGAAACAAAACTATAAAATAAGGTACACTAAAACCATGAGAAAAGGATCAATCACAAGAAAATTTAGGAAACAGCTGTTTCCCCAAACCTGTCTGTAAAGCATCTGAAATCTAAACAGACTGAAATATTCTTAAAAACAGCATGCAGCTTGAAAGATACTAATGAGTCCCAGAAGGGAGCAAGCCCTGCTGTAGGGAGAGAACGAGCTGTGTAACCACACTCCCCCTCGTTCCTTGACAGGATGCTATTTGAAGGGCTATCGCTTCCTCTTTAACCTTCAGCCTCCAGAGAAATACAAGCAAAGAGCGATACGGGCTCCTTCCCAGGAGTGTGTTGAAGGCCAGCCAAAAATCACATTTCTCTCTCTTAACTGCTGTAGCACCTGGTTGCTATCCATTTGCCATCAGTGTGAGAAGGAAGACGGCAGCACTAAAACTCTTGTGCCTGCCTTTTAGCAAGTCTGTTTTCTGCTCCCAGCTTCACCCCGCTGTTTCCCATGGGGAAACTCACACCTAGCTCTGACACTCAGGGAAGGCAGCTGTGTTTTGTAAGCTCACTTCTAAAATATTCTTTTTCTGAAAGCTTTTTTAAAAAGCGTTTTTTAAAGGACTAATTAGAGATGGTTTTACATCTAGTTAACGGCCTTCTGAATTCCCTCCCCAGTATTTCTTCAATTACCAGACAAGGCAGCATTAAAATGCCTCAGGAAACAAGGTGAACCCTGTATGAGAGCTCCCAGAATTTGACAGCAGAATCGTTTTACGTCTTTTAAGTTGGAAATATTTTCTATCAGATGGGGAAAAGTAATGTTTATCTACAGAACATCACGTGTACTGAGCAGCCTAATCACCTCGAGACAACAGGGAAGTGCTTCCATCGGTTCTCAGCAGGCATGTTGACAATGCTGCAGCACCTGGAGGGCAAAGCTCAGGCTTCCAGTTTCTAAACTGAAGTGGAGTTGAGGGGCAATTGTAGCTATGCATACATTTATCCATCCTCCTCTAAAGATTTATTCAGGTACAAAGTCAGCCCAGAGATGCCATCCAGATTCTCTGGAATAAAAATACCTTCCTCCTGCACCCCCCCACATCATCTGGCTCATAAGGGTTGCCTTTTCCTTCTTGATTCAAGAGGAGATTTAGACCACCATGAATTCAGATCAAAACATTATGTAGACTTGAGAGAATATAAAGGAGGGAAGAAAAAAAAAAAAAGAGAGAGACCATCTTTACAAAATGAATAATTCCAGGGAGAAGAGACAAAGGGATCAGTTGAAACACACAGTAGCAATTCCTCAAGCCTCTCTGAGCACTTCTGAAATGCATGATGAAGAGTCAATCAGCACTGCAGCCGGACAGACCAATGCTCATATGTCTTACCAGCACGACTTTAATTATTAATTCAAAGAGACAACTCATACCAGGGTGTTGCAGCAGAGTGCTTTGCAGCAAGTAGGCAGTGCAGCATGTTAGTTCAGACACAGCCTACATATTAAGATGCTTCCAAGGTAGACAAAAAAAAAAAGAGAGATTAAAAGGAACAAACCAGAGGAAGAAGAACAGCAGTCTGAAGCAAAGGCTATCTGGGAGTCCCATCAAGCACAGTGATACGGAGCAGCATTACTGAACTTCTAGAGACAAAATTCCCCCCACACGCTACAAGTGTGCTCAGAACTCTGAGCAGACAGAGCTGCCAACAGCCTCTCAGAGGTGAATCACCATCTCACTGCTGGTGCTGAGAAGCAGCTTTTCAATTCCAGATTGCTGCATCTCCTGCCTGCTCACTGGCAAGGCACTTCCAGTAAAGCTGACATATGCTGACACACTTAGAGGCCTTTCCAGCAAAGGAAGTGTTTTCTTAGACACCTGTGCAGACCCATTTGTGTCTGTCCACCTAATGAAGTTTTCCTGTGCCATACTTTACACTCCTTTATTGCTACTATGAAAAGATGGCAAGATAAAAAAATAGAAATCAGGCCAGTTTAGCTCTTCCAGGAAATAGAAAATAGATTCACGGAGCAGGAAAGAACATTTTCCCTTTAGATTAAAAAAAAACCCCAAATCTTAAAGGTAGTTATAACTAATGGTTAGGGAGTAGCAACAGTTAGCAGGTCACTATAACTGAGCAGAGGCAGCTGGAACAGCCATCCTCAGGGCTGCTGGGGCCAGCAAAGAGCAAGCTCTGCTGGAGGAACCTGGAGGATAAAGCACTCTGGGAAACGTTGGGAAATACAGGAGTGAATAAATAGAGGATGGGAAGTGACAGACAGACAGACAACTCAAAGGAGGAAAGGCGCAGGGCAGAAAAAATTGATTGAGAAAGGAAGGTGAACAGCAATCCCCTGAAGTGCTTTTCAACAACCACACGCCTACCAGCCCATATACTATGGATAACACTGGCTTTATAACTGAGTCTCTCAACCCTTAGGCTGACTTGTCTGTGGGCTGAAACAGGACTTGGTCTCACAGTACTCACAGCTGTGGTGACCTTGGTTTCTATTTATTCATTCAGCCAGGCACCCACACAAGCTTTGGTACCCACCACAGCCCTGTCCCACAAGGCATAACCCTGTCTGCAGCCTGTACTCCCTCAGCACAATGAATTTGGGTTTAGTCATGAAAGCAAACACTTTTCTAGCTATGAGTGCACATGACCATCTGTAACATTATAGTGCAATGGAAAACACAGCAGGGTGGAAAAGTCCCAGGATGCATGTGAGGATAAGCCCAAGTGCAGCAACCACAGACACAGAAACATAGGAAAAACTGCTTACCCTTGGAAAGCCTCAGGTATACCAGAATCTTAGCAAGTGGATCCTGGCACTACCCTTTCCAGTCACCCACCACATCAGTAACAACACACACAGTAGCCCAGATCTATCAGAAGCTCCCAGTCATGCTGATCACCCCACAAGCCAAATAAACGTTCATTATGCACTGGCTTTGCTGAAACAAGCCACAGTACAGAGCAAGGATATGAGGTGAAGCCCCTCTGTGGTGGAGAAAGCCAGAGTTTTTCATGCTGTCTGAATTGCAGAACAGCAGCCTCACCTCACCTGATGTAGGGCAGGTTGGGATTAGTAAACACAAACAATCAGCTGGCTGGAAGCAAACACTGCTATCAGGAAAGCTCCCAGAGCAGTTTTTCCAAGCCAGTATTTTCTCTCTTAAGGGAGCTTTAAAACAGTTAGATAAGTTTTTTTTTAATTGGCCATAGCCAAGATGAAGATCATCTCAGGCTGAGCTTCCAGCTCATGAGTAATCACTGGTTTGGGCAAGAACTCTCTCAAAGATTCTATGGATAATTGTGAGGGGAAATGGAGATTAACTGAGGAATTAAGAAGTTACATGTTCTTATCTGCAAAGGATTTATGCTGTCACTCACAACTTACTGTAGGTCTGTTAAAAAAAAATAGAAATGAAATGCAGTTCCAATTATGACTGCAACTTCGATACATGACCTGGGAATTCAGGCCAGATGTAGAGTGCTCTGAAGTGAACCCATAGCCCATAATCACCCTTAGTCCGCTAAGCTGCAGCAACACTTTGCATTCATTGCTCACAGCCCAGGCTTAGCTTAGGGCTCGCCTCCCATTTTTATTATTTCTGACTCACCCTTCGTTAAGCAGGCAGCAACACTGAGCTCATTTCATCTTTAAAGAGCTATCTTTGAAGAGACAGTAACTCACAAGTCCCCTGAACAGAGGTCACTGTAACTAAGAAGGAAGAAGTAAGAGAAGCCACACTACTGAGGCAGTGTTCAGAGGTGCACCATCCTCCCCTATCTGCCTTTATTTGTTCCCAGAAGATGTAGCACCAGATCCCTTGCCCAGTGCATCCACCACAGCTACCCATCCCTGCTGCTGAGGGACATCAGGTCTTCAGCAGGAGGTAAAAGATATCAAGAGATACCAGAGAAGGAGTTCCAGCAAAGTTCTCAGCCCAAGTGAGCCCAGACTGAGCCCCCCTGGACCTCTCCTCAGGAAAGTGAGCTCTCTCACTGCTCCGCAGTGTCTTCCTCCCCCATCACACACCTTCCTTCCCAGGTGCTATCAGATCACAAGGGGATCAGCTATAATCCAGTTAGCTCACAGCCTTCCTCAGCACCTCTACATCACAGCTAGGAATTAGCCCTCAAATGCCATCTCCTCTCAGGATAGCTCTGCTGACAGGCTTGCCCTTACCTTTAAAAAGCAAAGACACTTTATCCCATATGCCAACAGGGCTTATTCCAGCTACTACTTGCACTAACCAGCAAAAGGCTCCCAATGAACTTTTAACCCCTCATTCTTGCCATACAATAAGCATTAATCCTCCACCACAAGTAAAGCAACCCTCTCAGTATTAGAGAAAGCAAGGTTAGTTCCCAGGTAGTCCCCTCTCCCCCTCCCCCTTATCTCACTACTAAGCTCTATTCTCTTTGCAGCAAAGCCTGGGCATGCACTCACAGAGCTCACACTCACCTTTGAGAGCCCTCCCACTTCTAAGTAAAAACAGATGATGAAAATGTTCCAGGTGACCCAAACTGCAGTCCAGATGGCATACTAAAAGAGAACAGGAGGGAGAGAGAGAAGCAATAAACATGAGGAAGTCACCAGAATCAGCTTATATATGTATACTTATATATATTCCAGCTGGGGGCAGTTAAATGCACTGAGTCAGCACCATCATCTTTTCCTCTGTTTCTCATATACAGAAGGTCCTCTACCTAATTAGAGGCACAGGAGGTGGAAGAGCTCCTGCCACATGTTTGTCCAACATCTATTTCTCCCTCTTTGTTTCGTGGCGTCTTTGTGTTATGTGCACAAGTAATAACCATCTGAAATCTTCCAAGTTTGGAGCAAGTACAGCAGAAATGCAGAACACTGAACAAAGTGTTCTTTAGCACAGCCAGGCACCTCCTGCTAAAACTGTTTGCAGAGCTCATGCTTGATTTCCCAAGGGCTTGACGCGGTTCCTCATCACTTGCTGTGTCCCAACCAGAGGAAAGGCTGAGAACAAAGCAGATATTACTTACCACCACTATGTAGCGAGGTCTGTACTGAATGGTGCCAAACAGGCCAAGGATAACAATGATGATGTGGAGGAAGTTGGCTAGGATAGGGGCCCACTGGTATCCCAGGAAATCAAACACTTGCCTCTCTAATGCAGCAAGCTGGAAGGGAGAAGAAAAAAGAGAGTTACAGCTTCAGGACTCACTATGTTTGTTCTCAAGGTTTTTACATGCTCCCTGAGCAAATCACTGCAGCAGCTGAAGTCGTTACTCCCATCCCAAAGCAATTTACTGCCTATGAACCAAGTCAGTAGCACAGAACATGTATCTACATCCCCCTTCTTCACAGCCCTCCCTTTCCCTCTTGTGGCTGAGCGAATGTGGACCGTGAGCTCCAGTTCCTAAGTGGGGGCATGTCCTCTATTCTGTGCACTTTGCAATGGGGAGGCAGCCCTGGCAGTGAGACAGTAACACCTTAAATGGCTGCAAACAGGGCTTTCAAGAACTCATTTATCAGAGCTTTCAGCATCACTCCATCATTCCTGACACCTCTCAGATTTCTGCTCTGCAGCACACATCCATCAAGGTGAGAGGGAGGAGAAAACTCTCCCCTCTGCTTTCCCCCAGCAGAAAATCCTACCATCCAGCAATGAAATTCTGCAAATTCATTGGCTTTCCAGGAGGACACACTGTGTTCCTTTCCAGCACTAATAACCTGGTTCAAGGCTAGTACTATGTTCTAGAAATAAAACTCCATTAGCACTGAGGTGCTGGGGTTGATTTTCAAGCTTATTTGCATTGGGATGTGCTTTTCATCTGTAACATACTGTTTGTGTATCAGGCAAGCAGCTACTCATCTCGTTCTGACCCACTGTGTTATGCATGCAGCTGTAAGAGCAAAATCAGCATCCAGTTGCGTGCTAGCCTTAATTTCCCCACCACCTTTAAATGTTATGTTTACAGGTGAAACAGCAAGTGGAGGAGGGCAAAAAGGTTCCTGAGACTTTTTCCAGCAGATTTCAAAGAGCACCTTTTCTTGCAAGATTTCAAAGTGTTTAATTATCAGAGTAGCATGTTGCAATTACATGATGACTTTTCATGTTTATTTTCACCTAAATAAATCATTACAATTTACCACTGATAGTCAGTTTAACTACTAATTAGACACTAAGAGCTGGATGATCCTTGTCTGCTATGTGTAATCAGCTATGAAATGTGGCATCTTTTCCTGGTTTGGCTTTAAAATGGCAGCCAGGGGCCAAGCACTGGGACTTCTGTAATGACTTCTGGACATGAGTGGTTGCAGGTCCCCATCCCACTGCGTGATGAAGGAAACCACATCTATCAGACGGGCATCTCCTTCTCAAATCAGCAGGGAAATCACCATCACATCCCTTTTGGGCTAGAAAGATATCGCAATTCTCAACATTATCGCAGAAGTTCAACAAAAATCTCTGTTTCAAAGAAATCCACGTTGGCCCTGGGTAAGAGAGATCAATCAGTAAGCAGCTTTCCTCATGGGCATCTCTTCACCAGCAAAGGGGTATGGAGAGACCAGGAGGGAACAGTGACAGTCTCAAAATCTGTCTCATTTGCAAATGAATTAGCTTTCCCTTTGAAGCAGTTCTGATCAATTTGAAGCGGCAGGAAGATGCCATGAGATGTGCATCACAACTGTGTGCAGCCCCTGGGCCAGCACAGGGCAAGGACAGCTCATGTCACTGCTGTGCCTGGTCCCCCCGAGGAGGGAGATTTTCTGTATCTCATCAGAAACAGCAGTAAGAGGTGAAACGCTTAATCTTTTAGGAGGGGATTAAGGCACATACCTTAACGATATTTGGAAATTTTGAATCCTGACTGGCTGGCAATGGGTCACTTGACTGTGACCGCTTCATCCAATCAGGCATTTAATTGGCTTTGTGTGTCCCATTAGTGTGACAGCATGTGTTGCACAGAGATGGCATGGCTGCGTGTCACTGAGCCAAGAGACTTTGTGTTCTGCACAGATAATGTCCTGTGCTGCTCAGCTTCGCCTCCTGCCTTCAGGTCCCCAAAGGGGATAAAGATAGAGTCCGTATGCATTAGGACTCAAGAATCAGGGCATCCGTGTCTAGAAACGTGTTTTCTTCTCACAAATGAACGTTTCCCATCAGGCTTTGTAAAAGGGGAAAGCTTGCCCTTTGGCATCTTGATGTTTCCTGGCTTATTTTGACCTGGGAGACCATTGGGTTTTGAACAGAGTGGTACCCGACCATCCTGAAGATGATGGTTCCCATGACCACAGAGTGAGAAGAGTTCTTTCAGGAACTGCAAGCTAAACCACCTTTGCACAACTCATGGAGAGGCCACTCACCCTTGGTCATACTGCACTTTTCCCAATGATCTTGGGCATTAGCTTCAAATCATATTTTCTTCCTACAATTGCCCTGATCTCCAAGCTGTTTCTGTCCTGATTTATGTTTCTTTGCTCCTTTTCCTGCATTTTTAAATGTTTTTGTGTCCCTGAGAGCTGCAGACATGATTCAGCTGTGCCTGCATGCAGTTCAGCAAAGGGGAGCAGGAGCAGTCGGTATGATTCTAGATGGTGTGAGCACTCAGACAAGGTGTTTCTTCATTTATATGAACAGAAGCAATGTTATGTAGGATGGGCATTGATGGCAAACTCAAATGTTGCTGATGAAACTCTTGCACTGTATTATGGACATGCGGGTGGTTAGGCTGTGCTGCAATCCAGCTGCTAGAAATGCAGTCTGAAGTTACACTGAGCAGGTCCCTATCCTCCTAGGAATCCAGGATAATTAAGAAAACATTTGTTATAAATGAATAGGTAAACAACCGTTTCACTCATTACACTCCAGTTCTGTGTGCAAAGCATACCCATAAAATGCCACTGAGATTTGCAGGTACACAGGGCTGATGTTTCACTAAGCTGGCCTGGGTCTGGGCTTGGTAACAGCACAGCAGAGGTAAGAAATGTAGTCGTACCCTTCCTGCCTGGTGCTTGCAGTTTGGCAGCAATGGCAGGGCCAGCTCTGCCCCTGCCCACATGTGCCAATAGACCTGTAGTCTCACACTGAGCCCCTTTGCAGCCCCTCTTGGTGAGTGAGAGAAATGCCATATCTTGGCTGTAGCATTCTTTAAAATAGATGATTCATGCTATTCTATTGAGAAGCCCTATTATAGTCAAGAGGTATTGGTTGTAAAGAGAAATTTCACAGAATGTGGCACAGATTTCTACCCATTCAGAAATGACAGGACCTTTCCATCAGGGAGAATAATTTTTTCTTCTTTATGACTATTCTTATTAAAAATAGTATTTCTTCTGCTCTTTTTACTTCTCTAGACCATAGGACACTTTTACCTTTTACTCCTTAAGTTAAATGATTTGTTGCTGTACTAAAATCTGAACGGTTGTGGCAGGTTTCCTTCTCCTGAAATAAACCCCATTTCTGCTGATCCGAGTGAAACTGCAGCAAATGAGCATGAGAAGCGCTCGTTAGCCAGGCAAACAAAACGAGCTAAAGCTCTCTGTTGGGCTGCCCTTCACTGATACAGCTGGGAGAGAGAAGAATGGAGAGAAAGCAGAGTTTATAGCTCACACTCTGCAAAAGGCTCCGTGAACCAGCTAGAAGGGATGTGCTCATGGTCTTGTCAAAATGTGGCACAGCTTCTCATTGAACCCTCTCCTGGTTTGGGATGGGTCTGGCAGGGCAGCGTCACCGGTGGATGCTGATGCCAGCAGGAAACTCCGAGCTATTCAGCATGGGCTGGAGGTGGCCTGTTTAAATTCTCCTGATCTTTTGGATCTCAGTAATCACATCTTCATCTTCTGTTACTCCTGTCACATTGGCTAGCTGGGGAGCCCAAGTGATCCCCCTGTGCCTGCACACTGTTGAGGGGGAAAGGATGCAGACAGCATCACAGCAACCCATACCAAGCTGATCTCCATGTGTGCACCTACAGCTCAGACACGGGCAAAAGGTGTGACATAAGCCCTGTATTTATTTTCCCACCTGCCTGAACTGCAAGAGCTCCCAAGCTGCTCCCGTGGGTCCCACCAAACCCTGTGACTTTCAGGCTGTCTGGCTCAGTCCCCATCCGTTGACTCAGCTTTTGACTTCCTGCCAACTGGCTTTGCTTTTGAAGGAGATGCTCGTTGTTTGTCTGCTGTGCAAACACTATCAGGGCAGCCAAGACTTTCACTGAAAAAGGTCACGGGCCTTTTCTTGAGGAAAAAATGGCATTGATTTCCTGAGGTATTTTGGTTGATGGCTTGAGTTCAGGGCAAAGTCACAGCACTACTATCCCTGTGAGACATCATATACAGATGAATGTTTGAGTGCAGCTAGCTGAAACAGCAGGAAGAAATTAAGAAAACCTCAGATGTCTCATTTTAAAATCTATCTATTTAGGTTTTGAACACAAGTATCTTTTTTTTTGTTTGTTTTTTTTTGGATTCTCCCAGAACAGCTCAAGTTTGGCAACATCACATACTTGTCTTGGTTTCATGGGTAGAAAAATTATTGACTTAAACGGTAAGCTTGTTTTTACCACAGTGGCTGCATTTCTAAATAAATATTAATGGTCTTAACAGCTGTTTAATTAAGTTTGTCTGAAAAGGAGCAATTCGCTGAGCTGCTGCTTCACATCCCCCAAGCTGATGGGTTTGTTTGCTGGGTGCCGCGTCCTTGCCTCTTCTAAAGTCAGCATCTCACGTGCTAATGCACGCTGCATTCATGAAACCTCATTTTTCTTCAGTAAGTGTTGTCAAGGAAACCTTCCTTGGGGCCTTGTGATCCACAGCTCCCTTCCCAGCATCCCCTTCCTGAATCACAGAGGTCAAGAGACTAATTGCACAGGAGGTCTCTGGTTGTCACTTTGTCTCTCAGATGCTTTTGGTCCTTCTGGCCACTGGATACAATAAGCCCCATTCTCTGCTCAGCTTGGTGTGTTCCTTCCCCAGGAGCTGTTTAAACCCCTTCTATTCACACAGACCTCAGGGAGGCCTCCAGTAGCAGACCTTATAGCCTTGAATCATTTGTGTTCCAGGAACAAACTGGTCACTCCTAGGGCTGGGGACATAAACGCTGCCAAAGACAAGGCTGCTGGAGGAGCTCCCACTGCAGGTGGATGCCCAAGCAGCTCTCAGACTGCTCCATGCC